GGCCTTGGCCTGGGTAAGCACCCTGCCACTGGACTACATCTTTGCACTGCCCCGCCCCTTTTCGAGATAGGGTCTTGCCAGGATGCTTCTGCCTCAGCCTCCTGGAATGCTGGGATTACAGGTGTGCACCACCACACCAGGCTTTTGACTTTTTATCACTACAAATACAGCTGTAATGAACATAATGAACATACTAACAACAAACTTTGCAGATCTGACTTTTACCCCCCTCAGATAAACTCCTAGAATTGCACTTGTTACATCAAAGGGCCTTCATATTTTTGCCTTGTGTACCTTTGTCTTGTTCTTGTAGTGCTGAGGTTCAAACCCAGCACACTAGGCAAGCACTGCACCACTGACCTACATCCCATCGAGCTTCCGTTTTATTTTGACACGGATCTCACTAAGTTCTCCAGGCTGGGGTGGAACTTGATCCTCCTGCCTCAGCCCAAGTAGCTGGGATTAGAGGTGTGCACCACCATGCTGGGCTTTTTTTTTTTTTTTAAACACTTCAAAAAGTTTATTTCAGAATGACCTACAGAACCTTATCTCCATAAATGTCCTAGCAGTATTTCTTATAGGATACCACTCAGTTTTGTTTCTAGGAATCCAACAGTAAAAGCAAAATTCAAGTCCCCTTATCCAAACTGAGATCATCAGAGGGGGAGTTCTAGAGAAGTGATGAACTTTACTAAATTGCTTCCTGTTTCCAGGATGACTCCTTTTGCATTTAAAACTTCTACTTTAATTCCCAATATGTCAAAGGTTTTTTCAAATCATTATTTTCACACTATATAGAAACAGTACTTTAAATCAGTCATTCTTTTTGTTTCAATAGGGTCCACATGCTGGCTTTTTAAAAGGCTTTTTTTTTTTTGTAATACATACACTTTCCCCAAAAAACAAATATTAGTCTCATTAATGGGTTAACTCAGTTTATGAAACTGAGTAGGGGGAAGAGATGTAACTCTCAAACCTACTAGATATCCGAAACACAAGTTCGTGTTCTCTAAAATCGAAGAATGAACTCTAGAAACAATGGAGGTTAAGAGTAGGAAAAATTTATTGGGAGAAAGAAAGCTCCTGCCTAAGAGAGACAGAAGGGGAACCAGAAAGTGGGTTGCCCACCGACCCTACATTTCAAAGATGTTTTATACGCCAAAGCCTTGTGGTGAAGCGGGTACAAAGTGGGACAAAACTGTAAGACCCAATGGCAATTTACAAGGTGGGCATGAGGTGGGACAAAACCATGACCAACCAATAAGATTACAAGTACAGTCACCCAGGTAATATTGATTAAATGGGAGTCAAATGGGAAGACAAGTCACGTAGCAAATGTACAAGGATTTTCAGTAAGGGTGGGGGTCAGGGATATTTCCTGGAGAGGCTGGGTTAAGACCCTGACCCCCCCCCCAGGTGATTCATACCTATTTATAATATCAATCACTGCTATTTATCTCCAGGGGAAGCACAAGGGTGTGTAGTTTCTTCTCTCCTTTTACAATTTTGGCCTTCAGTGAATGTGTCTTGATTATCCTCCGTGTTGGCTCCTCCTGGGCTGGCCCAGTCTAACTGCCTACAAGATATCTAATTAAATTACCTATCTGCAATAAAACCATACAACAGTGTATGAGGAATCACATTTTCACATTCTCAGCAGCAGCAGATATTCTGGTTATTTAGAATTTTGTCAATTTTATGAGCAAATGTGTTACTTCATTGTTAAATATTCTAGGCTAAACACTATTGCCATATTCATTACCCACTTGTGTTTCTTTTTTGGTATGAATTGCCTCATCTTGTCCTCATCTTTCAATTAAAATAGTTGTCATCAGTTAGTTATTTATAAAACCTCTTTGAATATTAATTCTTGGCCAGACAAGGTGATACACGCCTGTAATCCCAGTACTTTGGAGGCTGAAGCAGGAGAATCGCCATGAACTCGGGGCCAGCCTGGACTGCATAGTGAGACTCTACCTCAAAAAACAAACAAAAACAACAGAAAACACTGACAAAAAATATTAATTTTATCAATACTCTGTCACACTATTGTAGACAGCTAAGTTAATTAGGTAACTCGGAGGCAGTTAGACAGAGCCGGCCTTCCAGGAATCATCACAAATGACAATACATTCACTGAAGGTCAGCAGTATAAAAAGAGAAAAAGTACTACACTCTCATACTTCCCCTAGAGACGAATAGCAGTGACTGATATTCAAAATATGCATCAATCTCTCTAGCACATTTCCTTTCTGGAAATTCCTCATTCATTCTATGTATGTTTGCTAGGTGACGATCTCCATTTCATCAATATTACCTGGGTGACTGTACTTGTAATCTTACTGGTTGATCATAGTTCTGTCCCACCTTATGCTCACCTCCTGATTTCCCATTGGATCAATAGTACCTAAGCAACTGCGTTTGTTATCTTATTGACTATAGTTCTGTCCCACCTGGAAGCCACCTCGCCTCATGGCTTTGTCCCATAAGACACCTTTGAGAGACTGGGTGGGCGGGCAACCCACTTTCTCGTCCCCTGTCTGTCTCTCTTAAGCAGAAGCTGTCTTTCTCTCAACAAATTTTTCCTACTCCTAACCTGTTTTTCCTCGAATTCATTCTTCGATTTTAGAGAATACGGACTCCCATTTCGGATATCTAGCAGGTTGAGAGTTATAATATTTCCATTATTTGGATTACTTGGTGCCCTGCATCAATACAGGTAAAGAAGAATGTTTGAGCTAGTCATTTGTCTTTTACTGAACATGTAGTTCAAAAATGAAATATATTTGAATAAAGTCACATCCAGGAAATTGAATATCGGTTCATGCTTGGTTCGTTTATTACCCTTCAAGGCATATTTACTTGTGGTTATCAAGTACAGGGAAAGAAAATACATGGAAGGGGCCGGGGATTTAGCTCAGTGTTGCTGCACCTGCCTCGAAAGTGCAAGGTCCGGAATTCAATCCCCAGTACCTGTCTCAAATTAACATAAAATATAAGTAAATGGCTGGGGTGCAGCCCAGTATGAAGGTCCTGGCTCCACCGCGCGGTACTAGAAAACAAGCGAACAAAGCAGACCTCAGATAATAACTATGATTATATTATATTTTATCATAATTGTTTCTAATGTTATAAGTACATTTATAATCCTTTTGTTTGCACCTCTAATATGATTTATGTGTTAAATTATTCACTGCAGTGCAATTCTTAGGGAGTAGGGTTTACTATGCACCCTACGTCTTCTCACAATAACTTTAAAATCATTAGCCTTTCTGCTGTTACTATTCCCGTTTGTAACTAGGAGGTGGAGCTCCAGGCGGCAGGTTCAGGCTTTGGATCGCCACCCCTTGGCCCTCACCCCGAGCAACACCCCGAGGACCTGCCTCGGTCCCGTCACTCCGGGAGCTGACGCTGCAGACAGCACATGCGTCCGTTCGTTCAGATGCCGCAACCACAAAGCACTGAGATGTGACCTGAAACACCTGTGACTTTCGTCCCCTGCTCAGAGATTCCCCAGCACCGGGCGGGGTGCCCAGGCTCCTTCGGGCATGGCCTGAGGTACCTGGGAGCCTCTGCCAGGCTGCACCTGTGGGCCATCCGCCCCGGGCTGCCACACTGCCTGTCACACCATGGGGGACACAGAGCAGGGTCACAAAAACCAGATGTGGTGGTGCAGCCTGTAGTCCCAGCACTTAGGAGGCTGAGGCAGGAGGATCATGAGTTTAAGACCAGTCTGGACTACATGGCAAGACCCTGTCTCAGAAATGTTTCCTAAAGCTGGGCACAAATAGCACACACCTGTAATCCCACCTACTTGGGAGGGCACTTGGAAGGCTGAGGCAGGAGGATTTCGGTGAGTTCAAGACCAGTCTGAGCTACATAGTGAGACCTTGTCTTAAAAAAAAGTAAAAAAAAAAAAGAGAGAAATTCAAAGTATAAATAACTAAAGAGAATAAAAGATAGCTAATAGGAAACCGAGAAGTGGATCTTTTCCAAATGTGAAGAGGACGAATTGATGGAGGAAGAGGGAAGGAAAGAAGGGGACCTAAAGTGAATTCAGATGTGCTGTGTACACGTAGCAACACCCCACGAGGAATGTATCCTCTACTAATAAAGGTAAAATGTGAAGCTGGGCCTCCTGGCCGGGTGTGCTACAGGTGTACTGCAATCCCAGCGATGGGGGAAGACGTAACTCCCAAACCTGCTAGATTCCAAAAATGCGAGTTCGTGTTCTCCAAAATCCTAGAATGAATTCTTGGAAAAACAGGTTAAGAACAGGAAAAATTTATGGGGAGAAAGACAGCTTCTGCCTGAGAGAGACAAAAGTGGACCAGAAAGTGAGTTGCCCGCCTACCCTGCTTCTCAAAGGTGTTTCATGGGACAAAGCCATGAGGCAAGGTGGCTTCCAGGTGGGACAAAACTGCAGTCAACTAATAAGATTACAAATGCAGTCGCTTAGGTAATATTCATCCAATAGGAAATCACAAAGTGAGTATGAGGTGGGACAAAACCATGATCAAGCAGTAAGGCTGCGACAAGTATAGCCCCTTAGGTAATATTGATTAAATGAAGGGCCGGGGATTTAGCTCAGTGGTTTCACCGCCTGCTGCGCAAGCGCAAAGACCCAAGTTTGATCCCCGGTACCAAAAAAAAAAAAATTGATTAAATGGGGATCAAATGGGGAAGCAAGTCACGTAGCAAGCGTACAAGGACCAAACAAGGATTTCTGGTAAGGGATGGGTCAGGGACCTCTCCCAGAAGCTCTCAGTCCCCCACCTAGGTGATTGATCCCTATTTAGAATATCAGTCGCTGCTATTCATCCCCAGGGGAAGGCACAGGTGCAGTGAATGGTCTTGATTGTCCTCCATGTTGGCTCCTCGAGGGCTGGCCCTGTCTAATTGCCTACAAGATGCCTAATTAACTTACCTGTCTAATCCCAGCACTCAGGAGGCTGAGGCACGAGGATCACTGAGAGTCCGAGGCCAGCCTGGGCTGCATAGTGGGTTCAAGGCCACCCTGGACCACAGCGAGACCCTGTCTCAAAAAAATATTAAAATTAAAAAATAAAATGAAATACATTTAAAATAAAATTTGAAAGAAAAAAACCGATGTCTTCTAAAGACACTAGAAATATATCTTTGGTTTCAGCCCCAAGGATATTTGTCCTCCTGGGCAGTCAGTTTATTTCTAGATACAAAGCGCGAACAGATCCTTGCGTGCTCATGCAGGCCTGTAGTCCCAGCACTCCAGAGGCTGAGGCAGGAGGATCGCTGGAACTTCCAGGCCGGCCTAGGCCACATAGTGAGTTCAAGGCCAGCCCGAACTGCATAGCGAAACCCTGTCCCAAAACCCAAACAACAAAAATCACGAGCAGATTGATCTTGGCGTTTTGCCAGCTGGAGAGACGCAGCTCAGGGACCTCAGGTTTACCTGAAGCCACGGTAAAGCTGGGGCCCGGCCCTGCGCGCAAGTCAGTCAGCTTTGCCGCTGGCCGCCTTCCCCGTGACCTTTTGTTCCGCCCCCGCTGCCCCGTCCGGTCCCGCCTGGTGCCCGAACAGCGGCCGGGCATTTCCAGCTCAGAGCCGCCCGCGGCCAGCCGCGGCAGCTTCCCAGAAGAGCGCTGTCCCGATGGAAGACGGGGATGCGGCGTGCAAGGGCGGCACTCACCTTGCCCGCCCTCGCCGAAAGCAGGAAGCTTTCCCTGCAGAGGGGAGGGGAGTCCACGCCGGGTGTAGTCCTGAGGGTCTCCAGCAGAGGGCGCTCCGGTATAGCTAGAGGACGAGAAACAGCCCAGCGCGCTCGTGCACGCCGGTATGAGGGTACTTAGGGAGGCTGAGGCAGGAGGATCACAAATTCAAGTCTCTTGGGCCATTTAGCGAGACCCTGTCTCAAACTTTTTTTATTAGCACATGTTTGTGGTGCATAATGATTACACTTGTCGTGGGGATTTGTACATGTACATAACCCATTCTCATTCTTTTTACTTCTCCCACCCTACCTCTCTCCCTCAACCTCATCTCAAAATGTTTTAAAATTAAAAGAGCTGGGGAGGTAGCTCAGTGTGAAGGTCCTGGGTTCAACGCCAGATACCGCCGTAAAGGGGGTGGGGGGAGAAAAGACAGGGAAGGTGCCCACCTCCCGGGCAAGCCTAGGCCGGGGCAGAGGTTGCCAGCTGAGCCTGGGAGTTGTACAAGGGGCTGGCGCGGCGCCACGGGGAGCCCGGAGAGGCGAGGGCGACGGAGCGGGGCTGTCCTCGGAAGTCCCCCGAGTTGAGCGGCCCTCGTCCGGAAGCCACCTCTGAGAATGGCCGCCCACGGCGCCCAGGAGCCCTGCACAGCGGCCCTGCCCGCGCCACCCTCGTCCCTGGGGCCGCAGCGCGGACGCCGGGCGGGGGCGGGCGGGGGCGGCCCCGGCCCAGGCCTCTGGGGGAGAGGGAGGGTCGTCCTCGGGCGCCTCTGGGGCCCCCACGCTACAACCCCGGGCCGCGGCGGGACGCCGGGCGGACTGGAGACCGCGCCCTCCCACACATCCTGCAGGGGGCGCCCGGGCACCGTCTCATCTGGAGGAACCCAGCCTTGCCCTTCCGCGATCACAAGGAGGGTGCGAGGTCTCTGTACAACACCCTGATGCTTCCCTTCGGGTTGGTTGGTTGGCTGGTTGGTTTGTGACAGAGTCCAAGTCTAGCCCAAGCTGGCTTTGAACTCGTGATCCCCCTGCCTCAGCCTCCCGGGTGGGGTGCCAGGCCTGTGCCACCAGGCCCAGCCCACACGAATGTTCTCAGGCTAAGTGAGAAGACAGACACGCAGCCTGCTCCCTGCGCCTTCGCCTGAACTCGCCTTGAGCGAAGCTTGCGTCGAGCTGGAGAGGACGCCACCCTGCCCTGAAGGCGAGGGACAGCTTCCAGGCGCCTCCTGGGGCTAAACAGCAAGAAGACCTTGAGCAGGCACCTGCCATCTTAGGGTCCCTATCTGCTCATCTAGGAAAGAAGGGGGGCCTAGATGATCTCCCAAATCCCTTCTGACTCGTCAGTTTTATGCCTTGCCACCCCCAGACCTGAGGAAGGAAGGGAGGGAGGGAGGGAGGGAAAGAGAAAGAGCAGGGAGTGAAGGAAAGGCGAGAGAGAGAGAGAGAGAGAGAGAGAGAGAGAGAGAGAGAGAGAGAGAGAGAGAGAGAGAGAGAGAGAGAGAGAGAGAGAGAGTTAGGCATGGGGGCACACACGTGTAATCTCAGCAGGAGGCTGAGGCAGGGAGCTGCCATGAGCTGGAGGCCAGCCTGGCTACATAGTTTAAGCCCAACCTGCATAGCAAGACCCTGTCTCGACAAACAAACAAAAATCTTGAATGGCCTGTGGAGTGACACAGGGAAGGTTCTCCCTGCAGCGGACCTCAGCTCCTCGGTGCGCGGGCTGGGCAAATGCTCTGCCACTGAGCTGCGCCCCAGCTGAGGCCGTGTGTTTGTGACTCCCTTCAGCAGCGTGTTATCCGCAGCTCTGACAGGAGACTTCCGCTCTGCTCATCCAAGTCTTTGAAGGGGACACTCAAGGGGGCCGGGGATTTACCTCAGTGGTGCTGCCGCCTGCCTCCAAAGCGCGAGGTCCCGAGTTTGATCCCTAGTACCAAAAAAGCAGACACTCAAGGTTGAAACATGGTAGTTACATCTTTCCACTCGAGGAATGACTCCTTCACTAAGCACTTCCCGGAAGTGCTTCCTTTTCAGCTAAACAATTAATCTAACTGCACTAGCATGCAAGGGCAGAGGAGACAGTAGCGGGGAGATGATCGGTGTAGTCACATGCTTGTATAAACACAGCCAGATCACGCCCATTCCTCTCTAAAGCCAATGTAATAAAAAAAATTGCAAAAGGCTGGGCGTGGTGGTGCATGCCTGTAATCTCAGTTCTTGGGAGGCTGAGGCAGGAGCTTCACCATGAGTTCCAGGCTGGCCTGAGCCACATAGCAAGACCCTGTCTCAAAAAAAATAAAATAAAAATTAAAAAATCCATGTACAATGCAGTAGAGGATAGTTATTTGATTTCCAAAAACTGATACATGTTCAGTTTTGTGGCTAATCGCCTATATTTCTTGTCTACATCAAAAAATCAGTGGCCCAGGGATTTAGCTCAGTGGCACCGCGCCCTGCCTCACAAGCGCAAGGTCCTGAGTTTGATCCCTGGTACGAAAAAAGAAGAAAATTATCAGTCATTATCAGCACATCCTCTATTCTTTCTTTTACAGTGCATGTTTGCAGTACATAATGGTTACATTCCTCCTGGAACATAACACGTCTTAATTCTTTTTTCCTTCCCTTTCTCTCCATTGTCTCCTCCCTATCCCTTTATTCTTCAAATATATCTGTAAAAATCTTCTTAAGTCCCACAGCACGCAGCCCTTATTTTTCTGTCTTCTGCTGTTTCCCTGGCAAAGGCTGGCGCACGCTTCCTTCAGCTCTCAGCTCTCGGTTCCTGTCCTCTCCCTTTTCTCAGGGTCAGAGAGCCTTGGGGTCGGAGGACACAAGGATGTCCTTTCCTCTAAACTCCCTCGCGGGGACACCGTGAACCGGGCAGCTCCAGGCGTCCGGTTTCCGCTGAAACACCTCGCCAGCAGGGGGCGCCATTTCAGGGACGGGGTTGCATTTCCCAAAACAATGCTTTGTTCATGTGCCTGGGGGGTTGCTGTTTTCTTTTCTTTGGTGGTGGTGGTGGTGGTGGTGTTTTCTAACCCATTGCCTCACACAACCTCACACAAGCTAGATATCCCCAACCCAAATGTTTGCATTTTTAAGGAAACCTTCCTTGCCCTGAAATCTACTTTCTTAGAACTTCAACCCACTGGTCTGGTTTCTGACTTCTGCCCTCTGAGACTAACCCTAAATCCTCTTCAACACAGCTGTAGCTTACATCAAAGCACTGAGTGCCATACCTCCATCCAGACCCAGCACAAGAGAAGATACCTTCTAAACCCTCCCCTTGTACCAGCTAAGGTGTAGATAGTACAGAGCTCTAAATATTCTGGGGGTTTGGGGGGGGGGGTTGTACCAGGGATCGAACTCAGGACCTCGCACTTGCTGGGCAGGCGCTCTGCTGCTGAGCTACATCCCCAGCCACAAAACCCTAAATATTCTGGCTTCTCTCCTAAACATACCTGTGATGAAGCTGAATTTGTAACTTAGGCACGGCAAGTGATCAACAACAGGGCTGAGGTGTGGCTCAGAGATGGAGTGCTTTCCTAGAATGCTTGAGGCCCTGGGTTTGATCCCCAGCAATGGGAGGGGGTGGGTTAATGACAATAACTAAATAAAATAATTATACTGTCATAAAAGTTATTTAGGGCTTGGGATTTAGTTCAGTGGCACCGCACCTGCCTCACGAGCACAAGGCCCTGAGTTTGATCCCTGGTACCAAAAAAAAAAAGTTATTTAAAGCCAGACATGGTGACACATGCCTGTAATCCCAGCATTTGGGAGGCTGAGGCAGGAGGATTACTATGGGTTTAAGGCCAGCTTGGGCTACATAGTGAGTTCAAGACCACCCTGAACTACATAGTGAGGCCATGTCCAAAAGAAAAAGTTATTAAAACCTCGTCAGTTGTTGCTGGACATGGTGGCACATGCCTGTGATCCCAGCACTCAGCAAGCTGAGGCAGCAGTATCACCATGAGCTCAAGGCCAGCCCAGGCTACATGATGAGTTCAAGGCCACCTTGCACTGTGAAGTGAGAGTATCTCAAAAGCCAAAACGGAGCAACACGCACACACCCCTTTTTTTATTTCTAGAATTTTCCATTTAATACAGCATTTTTAAGTCACAGTTGACCTCTGGTAGCTAAAACCTCAGAAAGTGAGTGTGTGGATAGAAAGTGGGGATGAAGAGGGGCAGCAGTACTTTTGTTCTTTACTTAATGTGGTTCTGTTCAGGGATTAGACGTGGGGGGGGCCTTTGCATTGAGCTAAATCCCCAGTACCTCTCCCCCCACTTTTTTCTTTTTTTCTTTTTGGTGCCAGGGATCAAACTCAGGACCTTACGCTTGGGAGGCAGGCACAGAGCTAAATACCCAGCCCTCCCCTCTTTTTCGAGACAAGGTCTCACTAAATCACTAAATTGCCTAATCTGGGCCCGGACTTGTGATCCTCCCGCCTCAGCCTCGGACCTGATGTGGTTTGTTCCCTTGTGGGCTGGGTGCCTTCTCCACACCCTCTAGAGAGCCTGTCAGCGCCTCCCACCTGACACCTGGCACTCAGACTCTGCGGAGCGGGGCCTCCCTCCCTCCGGATGGACGCGCGGTTCCGCTGACAGCTGCGCGGTTGGAGGGTTGGAGGGGTGGAGGGTTTGAGGCCGTCGCTTACCTGCTGGCGCTCAGTTCTACTGAAATGCAGAGAGGATTTCGCGAAACGCTGTGTATCTCATGCTTGTGGTCACCGCGGCGGGCGGGCAGCGATGGCCCTTCCTGGGGTTCAGAAGACCCTTGGGCTCCTCCTAGACTTCTCCACACGGCCACTGACTGGTGGCCCCGCTGAAACCTATCTGACCCTTCAGTGACAAATTCAAGTTCCCACACTGGGCATTTCAGGGCTGATTTCTATCATAAAACAAGGGCCTTTACACTGGGAATTGAACCCAGGGCCTTCCCACGGAGCAACACCCCCAGCTCTTTTTGATTTTTATTTTGACTCAGGTTCTCACTAAAGCACCAAGTTACCCTCAATGGGCTCGAACTTTGATCCTCCTGCCTCAGCCTCCCAGAGTACTGGGATTACAGGTGAGCACCACCGTGGCCAGTTTACTTCTAGCCTTGATTGAGTTTAGTGATGTTAGATTTGGCCCATGGAGTCCAGTTTGCTCCTGTACATAACACCGTGCCCAGTACAATCTCTGTGATTCATCCTCCTTCACCCTGCTTTCCTTCACTGCTGCTTCCTGATAGTTACTAGAAATTATTTCATTACTTGATGGAATTTCATGTTCTCTCTTCAGTTTAAAAGTATTTTTATTTTAGATTGAATTAGCTGCTTTGCTGGGCATGGTGATGCACACCTGTAACCCCAGCACTCAGGAGGCTGAGGCAGGAGGATACCAGTGAGTTCAGGCCAGCCTGGGCTACATAGCGAGATCTTGTCTCAAATTTAAAAAAAAGGAAGTTCATAGTTGAGATAAACATAAAGCAGTTCCAAATAAAGTAGCTTTCTTTTTTTTTGTTTTTGTTTTTGTTGTTGTTTGAG